ATAACAAGAATTAAATATGAAATTCTCCGTTAAATAGATTGTTTTTATAGTTTGAGTGTGCAAAGTATTCGACCATTAATATTAATTTAGAGATGTTTATTGTGCAGTTTGATTCAATTTTTTTCTTAAAAATTATCCAAATTAAACAATAAAATTAGTTGCAGTGTGATATGATTTAGTTAGGTTCAATTGACTGAATTATAAAATTTGAACCAAATCAAACTAATTAAAATATATTATATTATGTTATTTATTTAAGATTATAGATAAAAAATAAAATTAAAGATATACAAATATTAAAATATTTTGATCGCTTAATGTATTTAATAACAATTTTTTCTAATTATTTTAGTAAAATCATTTCTTGAATGCAATTTTTAATTATTATATTAAATATTTTTTCTCATATATATAATTTTTTACTTAAAAAAATATTTCAAGCATTATAATTAATTTATAATTTTTCATTTTAAAATTTAGTTTACTAGCTTATAATTTTATAAAATTTTTAAATATTATAAGTATATTTGGAAAGAAACACCTTTTTAGTAGTTTATAATTGTTAAAACACCTTTGTTTCGATTTTGTATACATGTACATTTAGAAAAAATATATATTTATAAATAAGTGTATTTTAAACTAGTTTCACATTTCAATCCAACATTCGAACCAAATTACTGAATGATTTTAGGAATTTAAAAAACTAAATCGAACTACCAATTTATAATTTTTTTTATTGATTTTTGATCTTTTTAGATTGGATTGTAATTTTTTATTTGAGTTAGTTTAATTTTGAGCACCTCTAACTTTATCAAAATTGAGACTTAAAAATATTTTTTTAATTTATCTTTAATTTTTATGGATATATAATCATAATTTTTATCCCATTTTTTTTCCTTCTACATTTTCTATTATATATATATATCAAGCCTAATGCTTTTTCTCTCTGCTGTATTTTTTCTCTCTATGTCTCCCTCATTGCACTCGAAAATGGGGTGGATGTGGATGTTGATCATTTTTCTATATATTTAGGGGCAACCATTCTTTATATAATATGTGTATATATATAATCGTAAATTTTCCTCATAATTTATAATACAATTGTTCCGGTCAAAGGGTGAACTAGGATTTTTTTCTAGATTAAGCTTTCAAAGTCAGAACATTCAAGAGTGTAATATGCCTTCTTAACTTTAGGATTTTAGGTTTTATCTTTTCTGCTCATAGGCCTCCTGGACCTTATGAGCGCGAGGATTTTCATAACGATTTTTCTTGGAAGTATGCGATTATCAAAAGATAAGGATTTTCATCCTTAACTCTCGGATCAGCACAAGAGGTGCGACCCACTCGGACCCTGACCGACCACCCCCTGGCCAAGCTCACCCTAGCCGAGCTCGCCCGGGCCAAGCTCGTCCAGGTGGTGGGAGGGATCTAGGTCTGACTGATCTTATCCGCTTGGGAGGTTAGATCATCCGCCGACCAAGACGACCCATATTCAAGGGCTATTGGATCAGAAACTATGAAAGGCGAATGGTCGGTATCCGACCGAGATGGCACACTTGCCTAACAACCCTAAGCCTAAAAGGCGCAAGGGCTTAACTGTTCCTGAGGTAGACTCTGGATCGGACTCTGACCGAGCTCTCTCAATAGGCAGGGGAGATCGAGACCCTACCGACCTTACTCGGTCCCATTGTTGGAATGGCTCTCCGTATTCTTGGAAGGGGGATATCGGGACCCTATCAATTTTATTTGGTTATTGCCTTTCTCGGTCCCATTGTTGGAATGGCTCTCCGTATTCTTGGAAGGGGGGAAACCTATTTATTACTACGCTGTCATGTCATGAGGGGAGTAAATGACCTTGCTGCCACGTGTCATAAACGTATGAAGGAAGTAAATGCGTGGGTCCTTTAATGTCAGAAGTTGCAACGTTTCACGTGCGGCCCAAGCTTTAATGCTGCTTTTCACTCGAGACGCAGCGTTTTGGCGTGGCTTTTCGCATACGCCCCTTGCTGCCTATAAATATGGGCATGCCGGGGGTCCAAAATGTTTGGTTTTTCCTCTCCCCATTTGGCGTTTTATCTCAGTGGTGTGCCTTGGCTCATTGATATACTCTGGCGGTCCACGGTGGTCTAAGGCGTTCCAGTGGCATTTTGTCGAGTGAGGAAGAGTTGTTGTGTGGCTTTAGGTACGTCTATCTAACCCATTTGGCCTTTTCTGTTTATAGAGAACCTTCAATTGCCCTTTAAGTTAGAAATATTTGTTCCATGGAGTCCGTAAATTATGGAGAAGCGTATAAATGGGTTAGGGATGATGTGCTTCGTTGTGAGTCTTCAATAAGTTCTTGGGCTGCCATGGATAGCTTTTGTAGGGAGCATGTATTTTGTGGCGAGGGATATAACCTTATTACTTGTCAGCCCTACGTAGACAATGAACCTGTGTTCGTTAGGGGAGGGTCCTACCGAGCGCTTCACCTTTTGCTATGCCATTTTAATTTCCAAACTCAAAGTGAGATGGCCTCTGACCGATTGCGAGAAAGGAGTACTTCAATCGTTGAATGTGGCCCCTACCCAGCTTCACCCAAACAGTTGGGCTTTTGTCCGTGGGTTTGAGGTCTTATGTAATGGTCTAGGCATTATCCCGACCGCCGAGAAATTTTTTTACTTCTTCGAGAGCCATACCAGCAAGCGTAGTAGTTGGGTGTCGGCCCATGGGGTTTCTGGTCGGGGACTCTTGACATTATTTCAGTTGTCCTACAAGGACTTTAAGAAATCGTATTTCCGGGTTCGTTGTACTCCGGGTAATGAGAATATCCTTGATGGATACCCCCTATATTGGAGTCAAAGAACTGTGACCTATGGTGGACTCCAGGTCGAGAAGTTTTCCGAGAGAGATCAAGAGGAGATTAAAAAACTTGAGGATCTCAAAACAATTTTCAACACCACAAACTTTTAGACTTAGAAAATAGGCCTAATGAATTGAAAATCTACATAGGTAATCGGTCTCTCGCCGATCGCCTTATGCATTGTTTTCTTTGTATGATTTCCATTTGTGTTATGACAATAATGGTTATTGTGTTGTGATGAAGAGAACATGGCGAGCATGAGCAATCGGGAGTTGTTGAAGTTGTGGAAGCAACAAGATTCTTCCAAAGCTGTCAGTGCCAATATGATCGATGAGAAGGCGAGAGATGTGGGAGGTTCACTCCAAAAAGGTGCGGTCGGTGAGAGTTCCTATAAACGTTGCCGGGAGACCGAGGCACCTATTACCCTTGTGAACCTGGAGACCGAGATCGGGGGAGATGAAGTTGAGAAAGACACCGAGGTTCAATCGGGCGAGCGAACCTTAAGCATGTGTATTGGTGAAAATTGTGAGCCCATGGACCATGGGACCGAGCGGGGGAAGTTCCTATCTTTTTGGGACGAGAAGTTCAATCATTCTTCCCACATCCGCCAAACCGATCTACTTGATGGTGACAAAGGCGACTTAGAGAAAATGAGCACCTTTTCAATTGCCAAGGGAGTTGAGTCTTTGACCAATTGCCTTTCGGCCTTGTCGCTCGTTAATGAGGACAAAATTCGTGGAATGGCAAGGGAGATTAAATTGCAAGGAAAGAGGATCAGTACCCTTGAAGAAAATGTCAACAAAGGTAAAGCTGATTTAAAATGGGTGACAGCCGAGAGGGACAAATTGCTTGATGGTCGGCGTGCCTTCAAGGAAGATCGAGAAATTTGGGCTTCCGAGAAGTCGGCCTTTGAGAAGGAGATCGAGGAGATTTGCCTGGCCCGAGACAAGAGTGCCGATGCTGCACACATTTTTGAGAACGAATTGGCCTTGGCAAAGACAGAGGTTGAGAAGTTGCAGGCCGACCTCCATGCTGCCAAAATGGACGTAATGAAGAAATTTGTGGAGGGTTTTGACACTACCACAACTCAAGTGAAGTTTCTTCATGCTGATCTCGACCTTGGAGGCCTCGGTTATTTCAAGGAGATTGTGGATGGGGAACTCGTGGATCCTCCAGAGGACGATTAAATATGCTTGTCATTTGTTGTAGTCTCTTTGCTTTCTCATGAACTATGCATTCTCATGAACTATGCACTACTGTTTGTTTTTCCTTTTTGTTATGAACTATGCAAGTTTTATTGTTTCCAATTGATGCCTTTCTTTTT